TGGAATTCATATCCTGTGTCCTTCTCTGCCACGGTGAGTGGGGCGGACCCGTGTAACCAATAGGAAATTGCAAACATTGAGGATGTGTGACTTCGGAGGATAGGTCATACAAGACACTGTGGCTTCCTCTTTGCTCTTGCTCGGGGAGGGGAAGGAGCCGCCATGCTGGGAGGATGCTCATGCAGTCCTGTTGAGAGGTCCATGGGACACAAACCGAGGCCTCCTACCCACCGCCCGGCACCAACCTCCTCAAGCCCCAGCCCAGCCTTCGGATGAGTGCGGCCCCAGCAGCAGCCTGACTCAATCTTAGGAGATTTCTCAAGCAAGAATCACCCATTCCCAAATTCCTGACCGCAGTAACAGCGCAATAATAACTGTTTTTTTTTTTAATTCTGATATAAGCCACTGAGTTGAGGTAATGTGTTAACACAGCCACAGATGGCTAATATGATAAGCATGTAGATTTTTCTATTTTTTTTGTCAGTAAATAGTGTCACACCTTTCATAACGCTAAAAGGAAACAGCCGATGACCTAGAAGTCGATAACCATCAAAAAATCTCTTTCACAGCTAAATACAATGAATTCAGATAAACAAGAGTAGAGAGTTTGAAAATAGCAAACACTCACTAAAGTAAATTGCTGCAAAATATCCATGAGCAAAGTAATTCTGGGTGAAAACATGAGAGGAAAGAATTCATGCAATATGATTAATGTGTAGGTAATTGTAAATTAATACTGACCATACAAAGAAGAGCATGTAGACATTTCTACAGGAAGCAGGGCAGGGAAGGTGTTTGGGGAGGCTGAAGTGGAGAGGGGGGATTATATTGCACACTCTGCAGCAAAATGACTTAAAAATCCTTTTTGGAAATGGGTGTGTTCTCCAAAATCCATTCATGACCAGGCCTCCTCTGGGGATTTTGCTGCATCCCTCCTCTCCTGACCAGCAATCTCCTCTCCCCCAACCACCCACTTTCTCTCAACCCCCAGCTCCGCATCCTCTCATCCTTATTAGGACTGGGAATTTGCCCCCTGCCTTCAACCTTGCATACCCTGACCTGTCACAGTGCCTAGCAAAACAAAACCCTCCCACGTAAAGGACCCCCCTTCCCGAGAAGCTCAGTCTCCACGTCTTTATATTCCATCGGGATGGCTCTATGGTGGGCAAGGTGCAGAGATTTTAGGAAGGGGAGCTTCAGTTTTCCCTTCTGGGTCCTGTGTCTCATCACTGGGTCTTGTCTCCAGTGATTTTAGCCTTGGTTCCAGCATCGGAGACACAGCAGAAAATCTGCTTTTTGGTTTGGATCTCAAACAGGAATGTGATGCCTCGTACATACTCTGCTATCTGTGTGTTTCACTAAAAGCATCGCTTAACCTAATTTTCTTAATCAACTCAAAATGCCATGTAGACCAAGTGAAAAACAATTCATCTAAGTACAAAGGGTGGATCTTGCTGTTCACCTTAAACAGCGCGGGCAGCTTTTAGCATTCCTGTGTTCTTCTGGCTCTTACCGTTTCGCTCTCTGAGCCCCGCAGAAAGGAAGAGCTTCTGGAAAAAGTGTCCTCGTGGTGATGTGGCCAGGGCAGTGGGCTCATTTGGATGTGGTCAACTCAGGGAGAAGGGGCACTCGGTGGTGGGCTGTTAGAAGCAGCTCCCAGGCACCGACAGGAGATTCCAGAACAGACAGGGTCTGGGGTCCAGGACGGGGGTCCAGGCAGCTGGAAACACCTGTCTGTCATCGGGCACTAAGGCTTCTGGGATGGTTCTGCTTCGGTGGTTTTTCCTGTCCACGCGTCACTCCACCTATGGCTCAACTAGCCCAGCAGGGGCCGGGGGGGTGCATCTGGATTCGCATTCCACCAAGACCCCACATGGCGGTGGGGAGAGAGGCCATTGCGGTGTTGGCAGCAAGGGAGATAGACGCTGGGTTCCCAGAACAAAAGCCCCCTAATGTCCACTTCGGTGGCTTATTAGTGGGAATAATGTATGAAAAGTGCTGGGCACGGTGCTTGGTCCTGAGTGAGCCACCATACACGGTAGCTACTATGATGGAGGTGATGGGTGAGGAGTAAGTCAGGGGAGGACACACGTGAGAATGAATAATATTACGATATGGTGCATGCTGTCGTTCAGACCTACACAGTGTTCCAGGAACCAGTGGAGGAAGAAGTAACTTGGCCAGCTGAGCTTAGGGGTAGTCAGGGGAGGCTTCACAGAGGAGGTGGCCTTTGAGCAGTACCTGATGAAAGACTGGAAGTAGACAGTGGGGAGGGAATATGAGAAGAGGGAAGGCGTCCAGGTTGAGGAAACAGCAGCATCAAAAACACAAATGGTATGGAGATTATGGGGTGAGAGTTTCATGGCATGTTCTGGAAAGGGCAGGGATTGGTGTCACTGGGACCCAGAGCGTGTGTGGGGTGATACGAGAGGATGCTGGAGGGGTAAGTAGAGGCCCGACTGCCAAGGGCCTTATTTGGGGAAGTTAAGGAGTTGGGGTTTGATTCCCAACCAGAAGAGGTTGTTTGGCCACCCACTGCTTGGTATACCACTGGTGTCTATGTCTGCACCCAAGGCAGACATCGCCAGTTGATCATGACACTTCCTGCAGAGGGAGAATCCAGGCAGCTGTTGCCAATCATCTGGCATCGTCATGAGAAATGAAACCTACTGCCTGTGGGGTATGACCTGTCCCTTGGCAGATGGCTGGGAAAGTCACCCAAGCCGAACCAGAAGAGGTTGTTTGGCCACCCACTGCTCGGTATGCCTTGAGGTCATGGCTTAGTTCCTTGGGCCGGAGCGGATTAGGTGGGCCTCACCAGTGCCCACCTCTGAAGAGGGTCTGCTCGCAAGAGCCGCCCAGGGGTAATACTGGGGCTGGGGGTGCGGTGTGGAGCTCTCTGCAGTTGCGCGCTCCATCCGCCAGAGGGCGCAGGGGTCGCTGTGTCTCCTCCTGAGGTGAGCGGGGCGGTGGGGGAAGGTTCTTCTGGCAAGGACTTTGGCCTGGGACCCTGCTTCTTGCCCCAGCTCTGTACGGGGACCATGCAATGCGTTCCGAACAGCCCCTGCCCTCTGGGAGGGCTCAGTTCAGAGGGCAGAGACAGCGTAATGACTAGTGACTTGTAGGATCTGCAGTGAGGGGCCTTGAAGGGTGGGTAGGAGTGCGCCAAGCAGCCTGCGGTGCAGTTGTGGAGAGCAGAGGTGCAACCCTGTTGTCTGTCTCCTACTTGGGGAGATAAAGGTAGCCTGCGTCCCAGGTCTTCTCTGTCCTCCCAGTCTCATCCTGGACCTGCTTTCCTGTTCTCCGTCGACAGGAGGGAGGAATTTTTCTTTTTCTTTTTTTAAAATTTTATTTATTTATTTGACAGAGAGAGAGAGAG